TGACACACCTGTCCATATTCTGACCATCTCACCTGACACACCTGTCCATATTCTGACCATCTCACCTGACACACCTGTCCATATTCTGACCATCTCACCTGACACACCTGTCCATATTCTGACCATCTCACCTGACACACCTGTCCATATTCTGACCATCTCACCTGACACACCTTTTCATATTTTGACCATCTCACCTGACACACCTGTCCATATTCTGACCGTCTCACCTGACACACCTGTCCATATTCTGACCATCTCACCTGACACACCTTTTCATATTCTGACCCTCTCACCTGACACGCCTGTCCATATTCTGACCATCTCACCTGACACACCTGTCCATATTCTGACCCTCTCACCTGACACACCTGTCCATATTCTGACCCTCTCACCTGACACACATGTCCATATTCTGACCATCTCACCTGACACACCTGTCCATATTCTGACCATCTCACCTGACACACCTGTCCATATTCTGACCATCTCACCTGACACACCTGTCCATATTCTGACCATCTCACCTGAGACACCTGTCCATATAGAGTCCTTGCAAACACGTGACCTAAATCACGTGATACCTACGCCCGCCGCCACAGTGGTGTACATCAGACGTAAACACAATCAGCTGTTCGCCAGCGCTGGACGTGTTCACCAGCGCTGGACGCGTTCACTGTATGTAAAGAATCGCGCCCGCGGAAAAGGAAAAATATGTTAAAAAACTTGAACTCTTAGGAATTGAAGATCCTTATACAGTTATGGACAGTTTCGTGGATAATATAAATATGTGGCCGAAATTTCTAAATAAAAATACTGTTAGTAATACCGTTTGCGTTTAGAGTTTAAGTAGACGAAGCTGATCAAATGCAGTAATATATTAGAGGTTATCTACTGTAGCAAACGTGAGACCACTTAACTCCTACAAAACCCACACTACAACGGCTAATATAATCCATGGGTAATAACCAATCTGGGTAGCATGTTATACAATTTAAGACCCTTATAATCCAGCAGGGAAGTGATCAGACACATTAATACTGACGTTCAACCCTCATGATGGCTGCCCCCACCTGTATCTAGCCCACAATAAAACCAAAGAGGAGTCTGCCCTGCCCTCCCCTGAAAATGTCTCACCTCCTTGATACCCAGCCCCACAGAGATAGTATTTCTTATATAATTTTGACCCTCAGGGCCCAGCAGGGAGAACAAAGGGGAAAGTCCCACTGCTCTCCCCTCAACACTTCTCACCTCGGTGTCATGTTATGCCATTTATAGCACACACGGCTTATCAGGGGAAAGCATTAAGGCATTAAGAATCTTAACTCTGGACAGCTACACACTAGTATACTAGCTACACACTAGGTGCCTACTGTAAACTACTAGACTGTAGGCCCTATGTAGACCTGCAATTGTATCAATTGTAGACTGGGTCCATTGTTATTATTCTAAACCATCTCACTTATAATGTTTCTAGCTTGATTTGTTTCTTTTATAAACAGTGGATTTAAAAAAAAATTTAGCCTAATCATTAACCAAATAATAATAATGTGGTTATTTGTTGTTGGCTGGTATGATCTAGATTGTACTACTAGGCTACAAAAACTTAGTAGACCAATTACTAGATATGAATTTGAATTTAATTAAACTCAGTCCAGTATCAGATACATATTGCTGTAAAAAGACAACAAAGTAGGTAGGCCTTAGTAATTTATTAAAGCCTTCTACTACAATAATATCAACTACATGCTTGTATAAAGTTTTTACAATTTAATTTAAGTAGCAGATTCTAGATCTAAGTCTAGTCATATAATCTATTTCAATTTCAGAAAATTTCGTTTGCTAAAAAAATGATTAGATAATAGAGCGAGATTTTAGATCTTAGAGACAATTAAATGCTTTATTAGGCCTATTATGACTACTTTTGATTTATTATGGGTGTATTTTGAATCGAATGTAGATCTAAAGTAATTAAAGTAAAGAAGTAGATTCTAGATTCTATGTCTACCCAGCGGAGCCAGGTATTAGGCCTACTATTAGATCTTATTATTCTTATTAGCCTATTACTTTTGACTTTGTCTTTTACTATTAGTATTTGTGAAGGTCGAGCATATTTGTTTTATTAATAGTTATCTTTTATAATTAAAATGAAGTTTATTATTTTACTGTCCTTACATGAAACAAAGTATCGAGAACTGCATTTGATCAGATTCGGCTACTTTAACTCTAAACGCAAACAGTATTACTAACAGTATTTTTATTTAGAAATTTTGTCCACATATTTATTTATACGAAACTGTCAATAACAGTATAAGGATCTTCAATTCCTAAGAGTTCAAGTTTTTTAACGTATTTTTCCTTTTCCGCGGGTGCGGTTCTTTACATACAGTGAACGCGTCCAGCGCTGGTGAACACGTCCAGCGCTGGCGAACAGCTGATTGTGTTTACGTCTTGTGTACACCACTGTGGCGGCGGGCGTAGGTATCACGAACGGACGTGACGTCATATGAAAGGACTCTATTCTGACCATCTCACCTGACAAATGTAACTAGCCCCACCGCTCATCCTCTTAGTTAACATTTGTATTTTTAAACTTGCTCGTTTGAAACTCGGAAGTGCTTTCACTTTCTTAGAACAGAAATTAACGTGCGTATTTCCTCTAAACACTAAGCGGACATCAATATTTAGCTTTTATATATAGTTATAGGCATACTTATTTAAAATAAACCGGGAGTGATCTCCCCTAAACTTTCTCGAATATTCTTATATAAAATAACAGGGGATGGGAACTCGAGCTATAGACATGATTTTTAATCCATTTTAAATACTTAAAGTTTTAAAAATTGAATAAAATCTCGTAGACAAAAGAATTGCACACCAAGCGAACGCCAAATAAAAAAGTGCATAATAGTGCGCAATATTATTAGTACTTTAAAAATTTACATTAGTTTTTTGAGAAATCGGAAGTAGCGTAAATAACCGTTACAGCTAGGTTGATGAAATTTAATATATAAGTATTTTATCAAAATCGTAGATCCGTATCAACTTTTGAGCGATTTCCGATAACCGGAAGTGGTACTTTTTCTACTTTGAATTTTTCAAAAGCCTATAACTTGAGTACTATTTCAGATAGATAAATGTAATTTCACATGTAAGTAATACATCTAATTCTCTAACTTCTATCAAATTTTGAGTAATTTTCGTTGACCGGAAGTACTAATTTACGCTATTACCGATTTCTCAAAAAAAAAACGCACGTACATTTATAAACTACTAATAATATCCCGCACTATTATGCACATTTTATTAGGCGTGCACTTAGTGTGCAATTCTTTTTTTTCTACGAGATTCCATTCTATTATAAAAAGTTAAAGTAATTAAAAATGGATTACAAATATTGTCTATGTGCTGAGTTGCCATCCCTCGTAGTTTTATATTAGAATATCCGAGAAAGTTTAGGGGAGATCACTCTCGGTTTATTTTGTTTATAGTGCAAATGTCTTTAAAAATATAAATGATTAACGCCGTATATATTAGTTTGGGTTCGGATTTATTAGGGTTAGGCGTAGGGTTAGTTTAAGAAAATAGTATTAATGATTTTTAATTAGAGCAGACATTGGGAATTTTAACTGATATATGGAATAAGCATCTCTTGTAGTATATTTTTTGTTGGAATCATTTTTTTTTTTGTGATAGAGGAAATAAACAAGAAGCGTATTTAACTTCAACCGTAAACGGATACAAGCACCGTGTTTAATTCTCTATCGTTGTCCCAATAAGCACGCCATCAAAACTCCTTGGCTTGTCATGACAATAATTAAGGAAGCAGACGCACATGGGGTAATAGGGTCACTTGTGCTACATCATTCGTAGTTTGCTCACGTCAACAATATACTGCCAGTCATCTAGGTCAGCATTCTACACCTAGGTCAACACTTTACCAGTATGTCAACCCTTTAATAGTAGGTCAACACTTTACCAGTAGGTCAACTAGGTTAACACTTTACCAGTAGGTCAACTAGGTCAACCCTTTACCAGTAGGTCAACACTTTACCAGTAGGTCAACACTTTACCAGTAGGTCAACACTTTACCAGTAGGTCAACACTTTACTAGTAGGTCAACACTTTACCAGTAGGTCAACACTTTACCAGTAGCTCAACACTTTACCAGTAGGTCAACACTTTACCAGTAGGTCAACACTTTACCAGTAGGTCAATTAGGTCAACACTTTACCAGTAGGTTAACACTTTACCAGTAGGTCAACTAGGTCAACCCTTTACCAGTAGGTCAACACTTTACCAGTAGGTCAACACTTTACCAGTTGGTCAACACTTTACCAGTTGGTCAACACTTTACCAGTAGGTCAACACTTTACCAGTAGGTCAACACTTTACCAGTAGGTCAACACTTTACCAGTAGGTCAACACTTTACCAGTAGGTCAATTAGGTCAACACTTTACCAGTAGTTCAATTAGGTCAACACTTTACCAGTAGGTCAACACTTTACCAGTAGGTCAACACTTTACCTGTAGGTTAACCCTTTACCAGTAGGTTAACCCTTTACCAGTAGGTCAACACTTTACCAGTAGGTTAACTAGGTCAGCACTTTACCAGTTGGTCAACCCTCTACCACTAGGTCAACCCTCTACCACTAGGTCAACCCTCTACCACCAGGTCAACCCTCTATAACTAGGTCAGTCATCTACAACTAGGTCAACACTCTACCACTAGTTGAACTAGGTCAACATTCTACCACTAGGTGAACTAGGTCAACATTCTAACACTAGGTCAACACACCAACTAGGTCAACGCCATCCAACTAGGCCAACACTGTCTAACTAGGTCAACACTGTCCAACTAGGTCAACACTGTCCAACTATGTCAACACTGTCCAACTAGGTCAACACTGTCCAACTAGAGCTATGCTTGTAGGAGTGTAGTCACAATAAGAACAGATTTAAAGAGCCAAAGAGAACTGAAATGTATTTCCTATCAACAGGGGAGACTGGCAAATTCTACTGTGGTATGAAGGTGTTGTCATGTAGTTGTTGTGACGGTCACTGTGGACCTAAAAATGGCTGCAACTGCCCACCCTGCCAACAGTTGGACAAAGAGGAAGAAACACTGGTTCATGAACAGCACACCATGCCTCCCCCATCACAGCCTATGATAGACAGCTGGACATGGGGCCAACAGCCAGGTACAGACCTACATAATCAAGCTTGTATCTCCAGCTCTTTGTTTTCCTATTGAAACTATGCCTTCAGCTTTGTCTTATAATTAAGCTCCAGCCTAGAGCTCTATGTCCCCCAGCTGGCTACCTGCTACATTTAAGCTCTATGTCCCCCAGCTGGCTACCTGCTACATTTAAGCTCTATGTCCCCCAGCTGGCTACCTGCTACATTTAAGCTCTATGTCCCCCAGATGGCTACCTGTTACATTTAAGCTCTATGTCCCCCACCTGGCTACCTGCTACATTTAAGCTCTATGTCCCCCAGCTGGCTACCTGCTACATTTAAGCTCTATGTCCCCCAGCTGGCTACCTGCTACATTTAAGCTCTATGTCCCCCAGCTGGCTACCTGCTACATTTAAGCTCTATGTCCCCCAGCTGGCTACCTGCTACATTTAAGCTCTATGTCCCCCAGCTGGCTACCTGCTAGATTTAAGCTCTATGTCCCCCAGCTGGCTACCTGCTACATTTAAGCTCTATGTCCCCCAGCTGGCTACCTGCTACATTTAAGCTCTATGTCCCCCAGCTGGCTACCTGCTACATTTAAGCTCTATGTCCCCCAGCTGGCTACCTGCTACATTTAAGCTCTATGTCCCCCAGCTGGCTACCTGCTACATTTAAGCTCTATGTCCCCCAGCTGGCTACCTGCTACATTTAAGCTCTATGTCCCCCAGCTGGCTACCTGCTACATTTAAGCTCTATGTCCCCCAGCTGGCTACCTGCTACATTTAAGCTCTATGTCCCCCAGCTGGCTACCTGCTACATTTAAGCTATATGTCCCCCAGATGGCTACCTGCTACATTTAAGCTCTATGTCCCCCAGCTGGCTACCTGCTACATTTAAGCTCTATGTCCCCCAGCTGGCTACCTGCTACATTTAAGCTCTATGTCCCCCAGCTGGCTACCTGCTACATTTAAGCTCTATGTCCCCCAGCTGGCTACCTGCTACATTTAAGCTCTATGTCCCCCAGATGGCTACCTGTTACATTTAAGCTCTATGTCCCCCACCTGGCTACCTGCTACATTTAAGCTCTATGTCCCCCAGCTGGCTACCTGCTACATTTAAGCTCTATGTCCCCCAGATGGCTACCTGCTACATTTAAGCTCTATGTCCCCCAGCTGGCTACCTGCTACATTTAAGCTCTATGTCCCCCAGCTGGCTACCTGCTACATTTAAGCTCTATGTCCCCCAGCTGGCTACCTGCTACATTTAAGCTCTATGTCCCCCAGCTGGCTACCTGCTACATTTAAGCTCTATGTCCCCCAGCTGGCTACCTGCTACATTTAAGCTCTATGTCCCCCAGCTGGCTACCTGCTACATTTAAGCTCTATGTCCCCCAGCTGGCTACCTGCTACATTTAAGCTCTATGTCCCCCAGCTGGCTACCTGCTACATTTAAGCTCTATGTCCCCCAGCTGGCTACCTGCTACATTTAAGCTCTATGTCCCCCAGCTGGCTACCTGCTACATTTAAGCTCTATGTCCCCCAGATGGCTACCTGCTACATTTAAGCTCTATGTCCCCCAGCTGGCTACCTGCTACATTTAAGCTCTATGTCCCCCAGCTGGCTACCTGCTACATTTAAGCTCTATGTCCCCCAGATGGCTACCTGCTACATTTAAGCTCTATGTCCCCCAGCTGGCTACCTGCTACATTTAAGCTCTATGTCCCCCAGCTGGCTACCTGCTACATTTAAGCTCTATGTCCCCCAGCTGGCTACCTGCTACATTTAAGCTCTATGTCCCCCAGATGGCTACCTGCTACATTTAAGCTCTATGTCCCCCAGCTGGCTACCTGCTACATTTAAGCTCTATGTCCCCCAGCTGGCTACCTGCTACATTTAAGCTCTATGTCCCCCAGATGGCTACCTGCTACATTTAAGCTCTATGTCCCCCAGCTGGCTACCTGCTACATTTAAGCTCTATGTCCCCCAGATGGCTACCTGCTACATTTAAGCTCTATGTCCCCCAGATGGCCACAAGTTGCAGCAGTGCCTCCAGTCCCTACTCCAGGAGCACCAGCAAATGAGTCTGGAAGCCTTCAGTTCTTCCCTTTCTTTGACAAGACTCCAGCAACGCCTGGCTGTATTGGAGCGCTACTTCACAGCTCTTTGCAGACAGAACCAAGCTGAACGCAGAGCCCCATCAAAGAAGCGACAGGCTAATCAGAGCAATCTTAACAAGCAAAAAAGGTATTGAACACACACTACCCCTCTACATTTGCATCTATTTTCCACTTTGATAAGCCCTAACATTTGGTTTACCACTTTGATAAGCCCTAACATTTGCTTTACCACTTTGATAAGCCCTAACATTTGCTTTATCACTTTGATAAGCCCTAACATTTGCTTTACCACTTTGATAAGCCCTAACATTTGCTTTACCACTTTGATAAGCCCTAACATTTGCTTTACCACTTTGATAAGCCCTAACATTTGCTTTACCACTTTGATAAGCCCTAACATTTGCTTTACCACTTTGATAAGCCCTAACATTTGCTTTATCACTTTGATAAGCCCTAACATTTGCTTTACCACTTTGATAAGCCCTAACATTTGCTTTACCACTTTGATAAGCCCTAACATTTGCTTTATCACTTTGATAAGCCCTAACATTTGCTTTACCACTTTGATAAGCCCTAACATTTGCTTTATCACTTTGATAAGCCCTAACATTTGCTTTACCACTTTGATAAGCCCTAACATTTGCTTTACCACTTTGATAAAGCATTTAGATATGTTTTACACATGATAAAGCCCTACATTTTGTTCCAGCACTTTGGTAAAGCCAGTAGAAAAAGCCACAATGGGGCTAGCCAGAGTTGGCTCAAGGGCCGCCCTTAGTTTTGCCTTTGCTTTTTTGCGGCGTGCATGGAGATCAGGGGAGGATTCAGATCTATGTGGAGAGCTATTACAGGTGAAAACCTTTGTCTGTGTATTGGCCTCTGTGTCTCCCATCATTCCATCTCCCTGTAAATGTTAATTTAGATTTGTTTTGGTGAAAACAATTTGTCAGATTTCGGACCTTTAATTTTTCAGTAGAATTTCAGTTTTAAAGCCATGTTTAGTTATGACACATGCAAACAGTGTGTGTCACGCCGTTAATTGTTGACGATCCTGCAGCTATGTTAGTATAACTGTCATCGCAGCAAAACACCTACACAAATACAAAAATAAATCTTTTAAAATCTCTAATTAGTTCGACCATCAAACCAATAAAACCTGTCTAGATAAAACCTGTCTAGATAAAACCTGTCTAGATAAAACCTGTCTAGATAAAACCTGTCTAGATAAAACCTACATATTGAAAAAACCTATCTACACCCTACCTCTCCATTTTCTGAAGACACCAGTGTGTGATGAGCACAAGCTGTAGCTCCATGAATACAGTCAGCAGCTAAAGACACAACAATCATTAAATACAATCAGCAGCTAAAGACACAACAATCATTAAATACAATCAGCAGCTAAAGACACAACAATCATGTGAATACAGGCAGCAGCTAAAGACACAGCAATCATGTGAAAACAATCAGCAGCTAAAGACACAACAATCATTAAATACAATCAGCAGCTAAAGACACAGCAATCATGTGCATACAATCAGCAGCTAAAGACACAACAATCATTAAATACAATCAGCAGCTAAAGACACAACAATCATGTGCATACAATCAGCAGCTAAAGACACAACAATTACATGCAGTATAAAATATGTATTGTGTACTGTGTGTTGGATGGGCTGTGTGTTGGATGGGCTGTGTGTTGGATGGGCTGTGTGTTGGATGGGCTGTGTGTTGGATGGGCTGTGTGTTGGATGGGCTGTGTGTTGGATGGGCTGTGTGTTGGATGGGCTGTGTGTTGGATGGGCTGTGTGTTGGATGGGCTGTATGTTGTATACTGTACTCACTTGCAGCAGTTGTGAAGCTCATGCTACAGACAATGGCCATTACAAATAAGATGATCATGTTGCTAGTCTTGTGGCTGATGACCAAAAACCAAATAATGAGCAGTGATAAGCTAAGAGAAACTCTATACACATGTACCAGGCAACTTACTGTTGTTGCCAGCTTATATAGGCCAGGTTTTTTGACAATCTTTGTGTGATGGTCCTTGCTGATACAGGAATTTTTTATGACAATCTTTGTGTGTTGGTCCTTGCTGATACAGGAATTTTTTATGACAATCTTTGTGTGATGGTCCTTGCTGATACAGGAATTTTTTATGACAATCTTTGTGTGTTGGTCCTTGCTGATACAGGAATTTTTTATGACAATCTTTGTGTGTTGGTCCTTGCTGATACAGGAATTTTTAACTGATCAATCATGTCAAACATGACTCAGTACATGCCAGCTCTAAGGTGAATCTGACTTAGTCATGTCTCATTACTTTAGCTGCAAGAGCCACTTCACCAAAGCAACTTAAGTGAAGTTGCTAAAATTAGTTTGATTGATTTATTGCTCAACTTACATTAGAATCAAAAGTGATGCACTGTAGGACTGTTTTAAACAAACAAACATGAACATTCTAAAACTTGACATGTTGAGTCAGAGAAAAAACAAACAAACATGGACATTCTAAAACTTGACATGTTGAGTCAGAGAAAAAACAAACATGGACATTCTAAAACTTGACATGTTGAGTCAGAGAAAAAACAAACAAACATGGACATTCTAAAACTTGACATGTTGAGTCAGAGAAAAAACAAACAAACATGGACATTCTAAAACTTGACATGTTGAGTCAGAGAAAAAACAAACAAACATGGACATTCTAAAACTTGACATGTTGAGTCAGAGAAAAAACAAACATGGACATTCTAAAACTTGACATGTTGAGTCAGAGAAAAAACAAACATGGACATTCTAAAACTTGACATGTTAAGTCAGAGAAAAAACAAACAAACATGGACATTCTAAAACTTGACATGTTGAGTCAGAGAAAAAACAAACAAACATGGGCATTCTAAAACTTGACATGTTGAGTCAGAGAAAAAACAAACAAACATGGACATTCTAAAACTTGACATGTTGAGTCAGAGAAAAAACAAACATGGACATTCTAAAACTTGACATGTTGAGTCAGAGAAAAAACAAACAAACATGGACATTCTAAAACTTGACATGTTGAGTCAGAGAAAAAACAAACATGGACATTCTAAAACTTGACATGTTGAGTCAGAGAAAAAACAAACATGGACATTCTAAAACTTGACATGTTGAGTCAGAGAAAAAACAAACAAACATGGACATTCTAAAACTTGACATGTTGAGTCAGAGAAAAAACAAACAAACATGGACATTCTAAAACTTGACATGTTAAGTCAGAGAAAAAACAAACAAACATGGACATTCTAAAACTTGACATGTTGAGTCAGAGAAAAAACAAACAAACATGGGCATTCTAAAACTTGACATGTCAGAAGATAAAAACATGAGCTTTTTAAAACTTGATAAAAATATTGTGTTAAAATAAACAACAGATGTCTTTTCTCTGGTACTAGATAAGATCTGATTTGTTTTTATCTTACTATTTCAATTGCTTAAAAAGGTGCAGTGTTAAATTACAAACATTACAAACCAGCTTTTTAATACTGAAAACATGGAATAACTAGTCAAAATAATTCCCAAGGTCTCAACTTGAGCCTATTGAAAACATGCCATAACCTGAGCCTATTGAAAACACACGATAACTTGAGCCTATTGAAAACATTCCATAACTTGAGCCTATTGAAAACACACCATAACTTGAGCCTATTGAAAACACACCATAACTTGAGCCTATTGAAAACATTCCATAACTTGAGCCTATTGAAAACATGCCATAACTTGAGCCTATTGAAAACATTCCATTACTTGAGCCTATTGAAAACATTCCATAACTTGAGCCTATTGAAAACATTCCATAACTTGAGCCTATTGAAAACATTCCATAACTTGAGCCTATTGAAAACATTCCATAACTTGAGCCTATTGAAAACATGCCATAACTTGAGCCTATTGAAAACATTCCATAACTTGAGCCTATTAAAAACATGCCATAACTTGAGCTGATTGAAAACACACCATAACTTGAGACTATTGAAACATTCCATAACTTGAGCCTATTGAAAACATGCCATAACTTGAGCCTATTGAAAACATTCCATAACTTGAGCCTATTGAAAAATGCCATAACTTGAGCCTATTAAAAAATGCCATAACTTGAGCCTATTAAAAAATGCCATAACTTGAGCCTATTGAAAACATGCCATAACTTGAGCCTATTAAAAAATGCCATAACTTGAGCCTATTGAAAACATGCCATAACTTGAGCCTATTGAAAACATTCCATAACTTGAGCCTATTGAAAACATGCCATAACCTGAGCCTATTGAAAAATTCCATAACCTGAGCCTATTAAAAACATGCCATAACTTGAGCCTATTAAAAAATGCCATAACTTGAGCCTATTGAAAACATTCCATAACTTGAGCCTATTGAAAACACACCATAACTTGAGCCTATTGAAAACACACCATAACTTGAGCCTATTGAAAACATGCCATAACTTGAGCCTATTGAAAACATGCCATAACTTGAGCCTATTGAAAACACACCATAACTTGAGCCTATTGAAAACATTCCATAACTTGAGCCTATTGAAAACACACCATAACTTGAGCCTATTGAAAACACACCATAACTTGAGCCTATTGAAAACATTCCATAACTTGAGCCTATTGAAAACATGCCATAACTTGAGCCTATTGAAAACATTCCATAACTTGAGCCTATTGAAAACATTCCATAACTTGAGCCTATTGAAAACATGCCATAACTTGAGCCTATTGAAAACATGCCATAACTTGAGCCTATTGAAAACACAACATAACTTGAGCCTATTGAAAACATTCCATAACTTGAGCCTATTGAAAACACACCATAACTTGAGCCTATTGAAAACACACCACAACTTGAGCCTATTGAAAACATTCCATAACTTGAGCCTATTGAAAACATGCCATAACTTGAGCCTATTGAAAACATTCCATAACTTGAGCCTATTGAAAACATTCCATAACTTGAGCCTATTGAAAACATTCCATAACTTGAGCCTATTGAAAACATTCCATAACTTGAGCCTATTGAAAACATTCCATAACTTGAGCCTATTGAAAACATGCCATAACTTGAGCCTATTGAAAACATTCCATAACTTGAGCCTATTGAAAACATTCCATAACTTGAGCCTATTAAAAACATGCCATAACTTAAGCTGATTGAAAACACACCATAACTTGAGACTATTGAAACATTCCATAACTTGAGCCTATTGAAAACATGCCATAACTTGAGCCTATTGAAAACATTCCATAACTTGAGCCTATTGAAAAATGCCATAACTTGAGCCTATTAAAAAATGCCATAACTTGAGCCTATTGAAAACATTCCATAACTTGAGCCTATTAAAAAATGCCATAACTTGAGCCTATTGAAAACATGCCATAACTTGAGCCTATTGAAAACATTCCATAACTTGAGCCTATTGAAAACATGCCATAACTTGAGCCTATTAAAAAATGCCATAACTTGAGCCTATTGAAAACATGCCATAACCTGAGCCTATTGAAAAATTCCATAACCTGAGCCTATTAAAAACATGCCATAACTTGAGCCTATTAAAAAATGCCATAACTTGAGCCTATTGAAAACATTCCATAACTTGAGCCTATTGAAAACACACCATAACTTGAGCCTATTGAAAACATTCCATAACTTGAGCCTATTGAAAACACACCATAACTTGAGCCTATTGAAAACACACCATAACTTGAGCCTATTGAAAACATGCCATAACTTGAGCCTATTGAAAACATGCCATAACTTGAGCCTATTGAAAACACACCATAACTTGAGCCTATTGAAAACATTCCATAACTTGAGCCTATTGAAAACACACCATAACTTGAGCCTATTGAAAACACACCATAACTTGAGCCTATTGAAAACATTCCATAACTTGAGCCTATTGAAAACATGCCATAACTTGAGCCTATTGAAAACATTCCATAACTTGAGCCTATTGAAAACATTCCATAACTTGAGCCTATTGAAAACATGCCATAACTTGAGCCTATTGAAAACATGCCATAACTTGAGCCTATTGAAAACACAACATAACTTGAGCCTATTGAAAACATTCCATAACTTGAGCCTATTGAAAACACACCATAACTTGAGCCTATTGAAAACACACCATAACTTGAGCCTATTGAAAACATTCCATAACTTGAGCCTATTGAAAACATGCCATAACTTGAGCCTATTGAAAACATTCCATAACTTGAGCCTATTGAAAACATTCCATAACTTGAGCCTATTGAAAACATTCCATAACTTGAGCCTATTGAAAACATTCCATAACTTGAGCCTATTGAAAACATTCCATAACTTGAGCCTATTGAAAACATGCCATAACTTGAGCCTATTGAAAACATTCCATAACTTGAGCCTATTGAAAACATGCCATAACTTGAGCCTATTAAAAAATGCCATAACTTGAGCCTATTGAAAACATGCCATAACTTGAGCCTATTGAAAACATTCCATAACTTGAGCCTATTGAAAACATGCCATAACCTGAGCCTATTGAAAAATTCCATAACCTGAGCCTATTAAAAACATGCCATAACTTGAGCCTATTAAAAAATGCCATAACTTGAGCCTATTGAAAACATTCCATAACTTGAGCCTATTGAAAACACACCATAACTTGAGCCTATTGAAAACACACCATAACTTGAGCCTATTGAAAACATGCCATAACTTGAGCCTATTGAAAACATGCCATAACTTGAGCCTATTGAAAACACACCATAACTTGAGCCTATTGAAAACATTCCATAACTTGAGCCTATTGAAAACACACCATAACTTGAGCCTATTGAAAACACACCATAACTTGAGCCTATTGAAAACATTCCATAACTTGAGCCTATTGAAAACATGCCATAACTTGAGCCTATTGAAAACATTCCATAACTTGAGCCTATTGAAAACATTCCATAACTTGAGCCTATTGAAAACATGCCA